GCACTTTGTGCCTTATGGCTAAAGCTCCGTTTTCTTTCAGTTTCCTATGTGTTGAACTGCTTAATTTACAATAAAAGCACAATGCCTCCTAGCATTTGTTCGGTATTTTTTGAGGCCCAAAACATCTCTCATTCAGACATCGTATTTTTGAGTTTTGCTATTATCCAGAAAATGGAGTACCAAGGTCATAATAGAAACAAAACTTGGACTAAGTCAAAAAGAAAAGTAAAAGGGTTAATACTTGATTAGTAAGAGAAGCTTTTAGACTTTCCATTTAATGGAATTTATTCTTATTTTACTTACAACTATTTATTTATTTATGTAAAACTCAATTGAAGGCCACCAAATTGGATTTCTAAGTCACAGCTAATAAAAATAGAAAGTTAGAACAATTCTGGGGTTGTTCTACTCACGAAGAGTGCTTGCTCCTTCTTCCAGACCTGTCCTGATAAAATGCATGCATGGAAACCAGGGCAGGACTATCTGGGACCACATGGTCCAAGGCAAATTTTTTTCAGTCAGTAGCCCATGAGCACCGAATAATGATTGATAATCACAACTGTGTCCCAAAGTTATCAAGAAACTATTATGTTCTAAAGAGTACTCACATCACCTTTGCTTAAAACCCTTCTAAGATTTTCAGGCACTTACAAGACAGAAACTGAACATTTTAGCATGGGATCCAGGGTCCTGCAGGACTTGACTACCTATCTGAAGGCCCTACATATAAAATGTTCAGCCTACTAACTGGCAAGAAATAAATGATACTTATTATTATAAATAATAACATCAATATATGAAAAACAGTAATATTAGCATATTAATAATAGCATTAGCATATATTATTATTTATATATCTATTAATTATATTATTATTGTTGTTATTATTTTTATGAAAAGCACATGGCACACTATTCTGTACTTAGTCAATGCATAATGAGAATGGATTTCAAAAAAAGGAATTTCTCAACTCCTTTTCCAAACAGAAAAGAGCTAAAGACGTTAGACACAGTAGGAAGTCCTAGCTAACTACGGCATGGGGCATTGGCCCTGGTTTGTGGAGAATGGAGTCAAAGAGGATTATAAAGACAGAATTCAGGATGACTCTAGGGTATACCAAACAGACAGTTGAAACCAACCAAAGAGAACACTTATAGAAGCAGATAAGAGGCTTACCATCAGACACGGCACAATGTAATGAAAATAGAAGATTCCAGAAACAAATGACTGAAATAGAGAGTTGGTATTTGAGCCTTCAAAGATTTCTTAAACACCAAGGCAGAGCTAGTGCATGTGTTTCTTACAGGTCCCATCAGCCTCTCCTCCAAGCGGTAAGAGAGCAGTAAGTGGACCAAGACAGGCAGATGCTTTGTTTATACGGGAAATGTTTAGCTTCTCTTCACCATCTCCTGACTTAACTACATACTTTCTGTTTACTATACATCTTTCCATAATTTTATATTTTGAATACTAGAAAGAAGAATAGACATGACCCTGCCTATTCTATTTGATGAATACAGTGGCAATATTTTTTGCAAGCATTCAATTAATGCCTTTTAGTTCTTCCTTTAAAATATCCCTCCTATGCAGCCTTCCCCTGGGATTGAGCTGTATGATATATTGTTTCAGGGTAAGTATACTTTAGTAAGGTAAAAAAAAAGAAAATGGTGGATGGACCAAAAATTTCCTCTAACAAAATAGTAGATGCTACTGGTACTCCCCAATATCTTGTCCTCTTCTCCTTCTTAATATGTGGAAGACCATACTTCTAAGTCTTTTTGCAGTAAGCCAGGGCCCTGATACTAGTTCATCACCTGTGAAAAGTGTCTTATGTCACTTCATTGCTAAAGTATTTAAGATTGAGTGTGAGGTCTCTGTGAGTTTCTTCTTCCTCACATGGGGAAAGTTCATATGATCCATTCTGGTGCAGCTACAAGTTGGTGGCACCTCCATCAGCCTAGATCCCTGGGTGATTGTGTACAGCAGAACACCCCAACAGCTTATAGTGGCTATGTGCTATATTATGTTCAGCCACTGAGAGTCCAGCTTCAATTTATTACTGAAATGTAACCCTGCCTAATCTAAGGTACCTACTGAATGCTGCATTAGGGAAGAAGAAAGATATAAATCACAGGAAAATTTGTTCTTTCTGTCCCTGAAAGGTTGTGTGGGGGAAAAAGGCAGACTGAAGAGAAAGGAGGGAATCAGTTAGATATGAGTGTGCTGATTCCTCCTCTCTGGGCTGCCTGCATCAATCTAAGAATTGTTTCATCAAAGTGATTGTAGTAGTTCAACTTGGTTTTGGAGAGGGGACCAGAGATTTAGCTTAAATTATGGTATCTGCTTCCAAATAAGGAAGATGAAACACAAAAGTTTCCCTAGACTCTTAGAAAAGTTTAGAAAGTGGGTGGGTTGAACTGCAATAAGCCCTCTATGTGACCCAGCTGGGAGAAAGAACAAGGGCACCAAGGGAAGCTGAGTACTTTTCATTAGAATTCCCTTTTCTATACTCTATTACTATCCTTAGGAAGTTCAGAGAAGAGGATAGCAACAGGAGACACTAATCAATTACTCCAAAAGACTACCATCTAAAGAGATGACTTAAATTATCAGGTCAGGTAAAGTTTCAAACTCCTCCCTACTACCTACTGAGTAGTGGCTCGTGAAGAAGACCAGAGAGGCACAGTGTCAGTAAAATACTCAGCCCCACTACACAGATATTCCCATTAGGAACTGGTGGAAAGGTGTGTTGACAGTGATGTTTTTATAATGGTAAAGGCTATTTATTTTACAGACCTCTTTGCTATGAAACATGGAGAAGTTCTCAGGACTAGATCAAGAACTCTAAATATCATACAATCATTGAAGTCATTCATTCACATACATAATCAACTAATATTTATTTCACACCTACTGTGAAGCCTTATGCTAGGCACAGAAGAGGCAAAGCTGAGCAAACAGATAGAATCCCTGCCCAGAAAGTTTTGTCACTGGAACAAATTATTCCAAGTCAACAATTATCCAATGTTTTAAATGATGGCTTCTGAATTTTGACTTATCTCCACCCTCCAGTTAATGCTGTGCTTTTCCTCCCAACCTCTCCTTCAGGAGAAGAGATAAATTTTCCTTTACAGAAGTGACCATTCCCATCGGGAATGTCTGTAAGTCACAAAGTCATAGTTTTTCTCAGCAAAACTAGAGATGTTAATTGAAATGGATCTCTGGTAACCTTCCCCGGTACTTTTGGTAACTCTAAGAGACATTGGTAGTGTAGAAAAAGAGGAAAATGTCTCAACTAGGGAAAAATTTGTGCCATTCAGGACCCACTGGGGAAAAAAATGGCAAAATCTGCATGTCATAGAGGCCCAAAAATATAACTGAAGGAAAAAGCAAGAGTCAGAGATCATAACAATTTCTGCTCCTTCTGGTTGTCCTAGGGCCAACAAAGACCCAGGGAACAATAGATATATCCAGTGTCCTATGATAAATGCACACACAGCAGGTAGAGTGGTAATGACTAACATCAATGTCCCTTTTTTGATTCTCTAGATTCACAGAGGAGTCTACTTCCTACGGGGGTGGGGGGTGGGGGCTACTAGAAATAAAGTCCCCCTGTGCAAGCTACTAAGAAATTTCCAGGATAAAAGCACACATGATAATACTCTACTCCATACCACTGTATCCTACAATTGACTCAGGGAAATTCAGCATAAATCCCTGAGCTTAGAGTAAATAGTCTACCTGGGCCTACAGTAAAATTTAGCTTCAGTTTGAATCGGGATGACGAAAAAGATAAGATTTGGCCTAGAAGTGCTAATTGTTAGTTCCTTTTGAAATGTGAGTCTGAACTTTTCAGACTATCCAAGGGATGTCTCAATGCTGACATGGAAAGATAAATCAGACATGGATCACTTTAACTAAGCATTGACTTGAGAAAGGTCATAGCTCGTTGGGTTATAAATTGGCCTCGTCTGAGCTTAAGAGTTTTCCATTATCCCACATGGCTTTGCATCCTAGATTGCACCACATGAAATGAATATTATTTTTGTAGTCAGAATGGTCAAAATGGTCAGATTTCAGCAATTTCACGTGATTCGAGCTAATAGATGCCCAGAAAAACAACCTCACAGTTGAGGTACTACAATGTTTACATCTGGAAAAATACAATTGTAGAAGTCAGGGTTGGTTGACTGCTACATTGTAGCTGATATATTGCACAGGGCCCGTGGACTTCAAAGGTCTCACTCAGATATGTTTCCAGGAAATAAATGGCCTCCAATGGAAAGAGAATGTGCTGCAGTAATGTCTTCCTTCAGTGTGGCCTTTTGGATGTCATCTCTCCATCGCATAAATGGGAACAGACAGAAGAAAGAGTTGAGAGAGAGAAAGAGGGCAGGGGGAGGGAGGAAGGGAGAAAAGAGAAGACAGAAGAGAAAGGAAGGGGTAGGGTAGGTAGAGAAAATACCCACTTGGAATGCTTTCAACTGCCAATACTTGGACTCCTTGTGGACTAATGGTGGTTTAAACTAACAAATATTTTTTTCTGTCCCTCACACCAAGAAGTTCAAAGTAGATGATCCAGAGTGGTACATTCTTGTTGCTTTCCAAAGCATGTTGTTTTTAGCCTTAGAGATCACAAAATGGCTTCAGCACCTCCAGCCATCACGTTCATACTCAAGGTAGGAAGAAGGAGAGAGAGGTAGCACAAGAAACATCCATCTTTCTTTTCAGAAAAGTAAAAGTCTTCTAGAGGCCCTCCACCCCACCCCACTCCATGCAGAAATCTGCTACATCTCATTGGCCAGAATTATGTTACATGTACACCTATATGAAAAAGACACTGGAGTAGTGGGTAGTTAGCAGCTAGCAAGGTTGTGGCAATATTAATACATTTTTGAAGCAGCATCCCTGTATCCAGTGAATAGCTTCATGTGTTTGAAGAGGCAGATGGGGGAAAACAAACAAATAATTTTTTTTAAAAACCCAAAAAACAAAAACCAAAAAACCTATGTTCCAGTGTCTGGCCACTAGCTATGTCGGCACTGAGAGGCCTTTGCCTCAGCAGAATCAGCGGTTTCCTGGACCCTGGATCACTATTACAGTGGGGTGTTCATAAACGCTACGGGCCCAGGAGCGGCCTCCTCATCCCTCACCTTCCTGACTTTTGTAGAGACAGAAGCACCCCTGGCGGGCTAGTTCGACAACCTTGTTCTGGGAGTTGTTGCTAGAGACAGAGCCTGGAGCTTGCTCCCGCTGTCTTCCATGATTTTGTAAACACTTAATTACATCTTTAAAATATCTTTCTGTTTACAATAGCTAGCACGGTTTCTGCTTCCTGTTAACAGGGCTCTAACTGATGCACAAGCCTGCTGTTTTGCCACAGGTAGTGAGGTGGAAAGCAGGCTCTGTGGGGCCTCAGCCTCTGCCCAGGCCTGTCAAGAAGAAGCTAACAAGGACTAATATCCTCGGCTGCCCTGAGTCTCCATGAGAGAACACGTATTTACTTTCCGGGCACAGCTTTAATCACAAAGATCTGAATCTTTAGAAGTGTCTGTGGTTCTGACATTATGTCTTTCCTGAACAAATGGCACTTGTTTTGCATCCTCAGGTTTTGGTTCCCCATCCCCTTTATTTCTCTCTTCTTTCTTTTACATAAAATGACCTCAGAACTAATCCTCCGTTGCATGAATACAACACGGGATATTCAGCCTCCAGAATTTACAATCGTTTTTGGAAGCTCTTTCTTTAAAGCACAACTTGTTTTGAATTTATTAATGAATTTCTTCTTGACTAATCAAGATTATGGCACCGTCTGGGAGATGGACACGCTTAAAGCTCTGACTCAGGTGAGGCAAGGGCAATATATGTAACCTAAACATTTGTACTTCTGTAATATGCTGAAATAAAAAAAAAAAGATTATGAAGACAGAGAAATGTACAAAGATTGTTTGCTACAACTGTGTGTTGACTAGGGTCAGTTGTGCCTGGGCCATGATACAGGGACCTGACCTGAACCTCAAAACTACCTGAATATAAGCTCCCTGAGGTAAGGGAATGTGTGTACTTACCGCTGTGCGCACTCCACCTAGAGCAGTGCCTAAGATTTAGTGGGTGTTAAGTAAATATCTGTTGAGTAAAAGAATGTATACTGATGCCCCAGAATCTACTCACCTAGTGTCCAACATCATTTAATCACCAAGGCAAAGTCACTGGACAGGATATCACCTGCATTTCCCTCTGCATGTGGCCCTTCTTCATCCTCTTACTTGATGTATATGCTGCGCTCTAGATTCCCTCTGGATAAGAATACAAGAGTATTAAAGAAAGTAAACAATGAGGCTTACTCCAGAATTCACAGGGCTCATTTCCTGGCTCTGGGGTTCACTACTTACCAGGGTCCATCTCTAACCTTGGAGAATAAAGCCTTTAATTTCAGTGCTGAAACAGCATTGCATTGTCTTGTACCCCAAATAGATTAAGGGATGTATGACCTTGGCAATCTCTCGCAGATTGCCTACTCTACCAGGTACATTTTAGTACTACTGAAGTATGATACCTATTAGAGTACTTAAGGCTGGCAAAATTATAATATTTAAGAAATGAGATTTGAAGAAATATTTTGGAAATCAACAGAGGGATATAAACGTGTGCTTGTGTGTGTGTGTGTGTGTGTGTGTGTGATGTTTAGGAGGAATATACTTAAGTCATAATAGATATTCTTTAAATAGCTATATTAGATAGTAGTTTAAAACACAGACATTTATTATTTCACACAGTGTATGAGAGTTAGGAATCCAAGACTCTCAGCTGGGTTCTCACCCAGGGTATCTCATGAGGTTGCGAACAAGATGTCAGCCAGGAATGCTGTCATCCAAAGACCTGATTGGCCCTAGTGGATACACTTCCACAATGGCTCAGTCATGTAGGTATTGGTATATGCCTGAGTTCCCTGCTGGCATTTTACAGAAAGCTTTAGTTTCTCACCAGTTCCTGGATGTCCTCACGCAAGCAATCCAGGAGCATGTGAGAGAGCAAGCAGGAAGCTGCAGTGCTTCTTATGACCCAGTCTCCGAAGTCACACACTCTTTTCTGATCATTAGAATGAGCCACTCAGTCCACACTCCATGGAAGAGGAGCAAGTTTTATCTCCTAAATAGAGGAGTATCAAAGAATTTATGGACATTTAAAACCACAATTGTTTCCAAAGTAGGGTGAATCTGGTTAAACACATGGTGTTCTTCCCTGTGCAGGACACTTCCTGTTTCCTCCATGAGCAGGACACTTCCTGTTTCCTCCATGAGCAGGACACTTCCTGTTTCTTCCACATGCAGGATACTTCCTCTTTTCCCCCTGTGCAGGACACTTCCTGTTTTTCCCCTGTGCAGGACACTTTCTATTTCCTCCATGTGCAGGACACTTCCAGTTTCTCCCCTGTAAAGGACATTTCCGGTTTCCTACCTATGCAAGATGCTTCCTGTTTTTTCCCTGTGTGGGACAATTCCTGTTTCTCTCCTAAGTCCAGCACACTTTCTGTTTTGTTCCTAAGGGAGGCACACTTCCAGTTTCTTCCCTGTGCAGGATACTTTCTGTTTCCTCTCTGTGTGGGGCACTTCCTGTTTCTCTCCTGAGAGAGGTTCACTTCCTGTTTTTCCCCTATGTGGGGCACTTCCTATTTCTCTCCTGAGAGAGGCTCACTTTTCCCCTATGTGGGACACTTCCTATTTCTTCCCTGTGTGGGACACTTCCTGTTTCTCTCCTAAGGCAGGCCCACTTCCTGTTTTGCTCCTAAGGGAGGCACACTTCCAGTTTCTCCCATTTGCAGGACACATCCTGTTTCTCCCCTGTGCAGGACACTTCCTGTTTCCTCCCTGTGCAGAACACTTCCAGTTTCTCTCCTAAGGTAGACACACTTCCTGTTTCTCTAAATTCACCATGAAATGTTAGAGCCAAAAAGGAAATTCCCAAAATATTGGAAGAAGTGTTCCCTCTTCTTTCCTCCCCAACAGTGGCTAAATTTTCTTCTAAACAAATATTTGCCCTAGCCCTCTGGAAGGCCAAAGCAGGCAGATCATTTGGGCTCAGGAGTTCGAGACCAGCCTGAGCAAGAGTGAGATCCCGTCTCTACTAAAAAAAATAGAAAGAAATTAGCTAGACAACTAAAAACATAGAGAAAAAATTAGCCAGGCATGGTGGAGCATGTCTGTAGTCCCAGCTACTCAGGAGGCTGAGGCAGTATGATTGCTTGAGCCCAGGAGTTTGAGGTTGCTGTGAGCTAGGCTGACACCACAGCACCCTAGCCCAGGCAATAGAGTGAGACTCTGTCTCAAAAATATATATATATTTGACAACAACTTCAGGAATACTCCTCAGCTTGTGAAAGAAAGTATATAAAGATTAAAGGATAAGGCACTTGGACAATGTGAGCCCCCTCTGGCCTTCCCATTTCACATAAAAGGAGGGGGGAAAAACTAAGAAACTCTTCTGAAGGTCACAGCCCAAGGATTCTGATCCACTTAAAAAAACAAAAACAAAAACAAAACAGAGATTTAATCGTAAGATTATGGAACACTTCTCTCCTCCAATGCCTTACCACCAAATCAACAGAGCTCCAATAAAATAACAGTGGATTACCAGTGAGAGAGCTCTAAGAGATGGATTCTACTTAAGAAAGAGTTTCTAGAAACACCCAAAGAAAACAGGGAGACAAAAATGAGGACACTAGAGGAAATCAAAGCCTTTGACACCTACTGCTACAGTGAACAGTAAACACAGCCTAACATTTAAACATGTCTAAAACCTCACACTAAAGGTCTTTTTGCTTCAGTTCATATATCATATCTGAATTATAAAAAATTGAAAGGCATTTTGAAAAACAGGAGGAAAAGTCTGAAGAAACAAAGTAAGCATCAGAACCAGATACATATATGGCATAGATTTAAGAATTATCAGAAGACTAAGAATTTAAAATAACTATGATTAGCATCCTAAGAGTTCTAAACTCACTGATTCTTCCCTTGACCATGTCCCATCTACTGACAAGTCCATCAAAGGCATTATTCATCTCTGTCACACTGTATTTTTTATTTCTAACATTTCCTTTTAATTCTCTTTTGGAGTTCTCATCTCTGTGCTTATAATATCCATCTGTTCCTGCATATTATCCACTTTTCTTATCAGCACCCCTAGCATAATTTGTCATTGGTTTCAGGTTGCCTAACAATGGAGAGTCAAAATGCACGAGGCAAAAACCAGTCGAACTACAAGGAGAAATTGGCAAATTCACTATTATAGTCACAGTCTTCAATACCATATCCCCCAGATCCAGGAGGCAGAAAAATCAGTAAAGTTATAGTTGAACTGAACAGCACCTCAATCAATAGGCTCTAGTTGACATTTACAGAATACTTCATTGAACAACAGCAAAATGTACATTATCCTCAAGCTCACATGGAACATTTATTTACCAATATAGATCGCATTATGGGCCACAAAACACAGCTTAAATTTAAAATAATAAACATCACCCAAAGTATGTTCTCAGACCACAATGATATTAAATGAGAAAAACAGAAAGATAGCTGGAAATTTTCAACATATGTGGAGGTTAAACAATATATTTCTAAATAAAATATAGATCATAGAATGCATCTGAAGAGAAAGGTTTAAATTTTTTGAACTAAAGAAAAATACAACTTGTCAAAATTTGTGGAATGCAGAAAAAAAACAGTGGTTGGGGGAGATTTTTAGGATTGAATGCACATCTTAGCAAAGAATATTCGAAATCAATAACTTAAAATTCTACCTTGGCAAACTAGAGAAAGATGAGCAATATTAACCTAAAGCAAACAGAATAAAAGAAATAACAAAAAATTAGAGCATAAATCAATGAAATTGAAAACAGAAAAAAAAATCGGGAAAACCAATGAAACCAAAAGCCATGGCTTTGTAAAGATTAACAAAATTGATAAGCCTTTAGCCAGGTTAACTAAGGGGAAAAAAGAGAAAAGTCACAAACTACTGATATCAGAAATCATTACTGATCTCATGGACATAAAAAGAATAATAAATGAATATAATGTAAATGTCTCTATGCCCACAACTTTGGTCACTTAGAAGAAATTGAAAAATTCTTTGAAAAACATAATCTACCAAAACTCACGTGGAGAAATATATCATCTGAATAGGCCTATATATGTTAAAGAAATTGAATTGATAATTAATAACCTTCCATAAAAAAAAAACCAGGGCCAGATAGTTTCAACGGTGATTTTAAGAAGCAAGCATTTAAGAAATTATGCTAATTATCTTCAATCTCTTCCAGAAAATAGAATGAAAGGGAAAACTCAACTTGAAAAAGAGAATATTGTTAAAATCTATAGACATAATCATACTTAATGATGAGAATTTATGCTTTCCCCCAAAGATTGGGAAGATATTCCCTCTCACCATTACTATTCAGTATTGTATTTACAGTGTTTTCTAATGCAATGAGATAGGAAAAGAAAAGAAAATGTATACAAATAAGGAAAGAAGAAACAAAACTGTATTTGTTAGCAGATGACATGATTATCTATTGTCAATAAAAAAAAAAAAACAAAAGAAAAGAAAACAGACCCTGAAACGATAGGCAATTATATAAAAGTTGCAATATACTAAACAAAATGGGCATTTGGGGGCTTGGTTCGTTGAAAACTGCAGCCCACACTTAGAGAAGAGCAACCAAAACTACATGCCCAGAATTAGCCAACACCACCATTGCAAATAGTTACCATGCAGCCACTAGGGAATCAACAATTCTCAAAAGCTTTCAAGGAACAAGAACAAAAATGATGAAAGGCATCATTCTTTGAGAAGAGTCCCTCATCTATTCTCTCTCTGCTCAACTTCTTGGGCTGCAAAAATAATGTGGTTTAAAAAGATCTTTAAACCACATTATCCTCCTACAGAAGTAAAGGGTACTCCACCTAAATACACACTATTTAAGTGGCCAGTGGGGATGGATTCATGGACCTCTTTTTTCTGAAACTATTTATTTTCCAATCAGCACATGGCATGGAAAGCCTTTTTGAAAATGCCAATTAAGGGTCCTAACACTGAAATCAGAAAGCTGGGGAAAGTCTCAGGTGGTCCCAGGGGTTCCTTAACTGAAGTTACCACTGCCATTATCATCACTATGTTGTTCCACTCAAAGACAAAAGTCAAGCACCAAATGGCCAGGTGAAGTGGAAGCAGGGAGGATTTTCAATCAAATCACTCACGCATAGGAATAAGCTGTCAAAGTGCTTCTGGAGTGCTGCCCACCTCTGCAATAATGTGCACCCTAAGGAGAAATCCTAGCTTCCGCCTTCTTTCTAGAGCTTAAGTAGAAAAGCAGTCTACGTGTCAACCAACCCACGCCAAAGCTTTCTATTTGATCAACTTGTGAGATGTATGATGTTTGTGGGCAAGAAAAATATTGCTCTGGACTAAAGGTCTCCTGATGAAATGAGTCAATCTGTTAAGAAATGCTTCTGTCCACAACTCTGTACATGGTATCCTCGGCCTCCGTGTACCTTAGATTGTAAACAACAGGGTCCAGCGTCAGATTGAGGGTGGTGTAGTTCTTTGATACCAGGTCTATTTTCTACTAAATTCATCAGCTTGCGGTTGAGGCAGGCAATAGATGCGCAGCCACACTAGACAATGACCCTGGTGTGACAGGAGGTATAGGGGGCAAAGCCCCCAGTGAGGCCATCCTGAGCATGGTGAAGGTGATGAGGGTGTCCACATAGGAAATACAAACCAAATCCTTGGACACCTGCACATAGGCCTGGTGAAGAAAATATTGTTTACTTCATGGATAGTATTGTCATTGCAGAATAGTTTCACGAAAAGAAGGAAGTCACAGAAGTGGGCTGCCACGGTGTCACAGAGGTACGAATGGAGCGTGGATGTCATCTGAATACCAGCCATGATCAGGCCAATGCAAAAGGCACTACACACCAACTGAGCACACACCCTGTTCACAAAGATGGTTCACCTCAGCAATTTCCAGGCAACCACACAGCAGAGGGCGAACAGAATGGCAAGAGACCGAGATTGCCTGGTTCTGAGCTGTGAGATCAGAGAGCACTGTGGAACAGGGACCAGTGCATGCAGTCTCGAGCCTGCCAGCACACTCAGGAAACAGTGCATGGCCGATGTGGGTGAGAGCTGTGATGATGGCCTTCCCTGCTGAAGCTAAGATGTGGATGGTATCACTCACAAAAGCTGGAGACACACAGAGAAGTGAGCTCTGTTAGCTTCTGTGAGGTTCTTTCTCCGTATTCTGAAGTTTTAGGGATATCAATAGGATGGGTACGCATGGGAAAATTCTTGTTCTGACATGAACTCTAGTGGTGGACAGAAACATGGCACAGGGAAAGACAAGATGACAATAGTGGGCCAAGACAGCTCTAGCCAAGACCTCTTCCAGCCACAGGAGTGAGAAATCTGTTTCTGCTTCTTCAATGTGTGCATTCTCTGTCACTGTAGACTGAGAGTACATTCCCATATAAAGAGAGTACATTCCCATATAAGGAAGGAAGCTTTTCTCTTCAACATAATCCAGATATTGAGTTATACTGAGTCCTTGCCATTTTTTATATATATATAATTTTTTTTGTTTGCACATATCTTCCCCCAGATGCTGGTGACATGAAGGGATTGTGAACAGCAAAGAGGTAGCTTTGGCCAGTGGATTCCAATGGATAATAAATTTTATTAAAAATTTATATTTAAATAAAGATAGACAAAAAATTCATCTCAGCAATGAATGCTAAATTTTATAAAAATTATGAAGATGAGTAGTTTGAAAAGAAGTGCAGTAGTGTACCCACCCATATGGGGATGTCGAGAAGGATAAACTCTGTCTGAGATACTAATATGGTGACATTCTAGAGAGTAGTTTCAGGTGAGTTTCGAATTTAGAAGTGAGAATTCAGTGAGGTAACATGGTCTCGATGTCTCACTGAACCCGAAAAGGAGAAGATAACGAGCAGGGATTTTCTTTTCTCAATGAACCCTGAAATTAGGAACAGTGAAATGGGACCCAGGAAAGACTCCTGTGTCTCAACAGGACCAGGAGAAAGTGACCGGCCAGTATATGAAGCTGCCAGGATTGAGAAGGGGAGGTGGGAATCTGCAACAGCGAGCCTGGCATTTAGTGTGTGAAGGAGCTCCTTTGGTAGAAAGGTCACTCATAATCTCAGGTGGACACTGATATTTCTCTGTTGTTGGGTGAAATGTTATGGGGTGGGAAACAGAGACATGGTAGCCACTCAGTTAAGAAGAGACGATCTATAATTTACGTGGGAAATACACCTTGGATCCTGAGTCCCCTGTAGAGAATCCTATTTCTGTCTTTTTGTTCTCTGTCAGAATGATTGAACCTTAAGAAACAGACTCCCTTCCTTGTTCTCCCTCCATCACTCCTTGAAACTTGGCTTCTGCCATACTCACTTTACAAAAATTGCTCTTTCAAAGGTTACCAATGAAGTTTTTATTGCTGAATTCAGCATCCATTCTACTTAGATCTCTCTGATGCATTTTATACCACTGGATACTGCTTCTTGGACACTGACACTAACTTGGTTTCCATGACACTGCACACACCATCCTTCTCTCTGTCAAACATTGTCTTTTGTCTCCCTGCCTCCTCCCCCAACTCCAACACTCTTCTCATGCCTCCAACCCCACGAATGCAAATACTCCCTCAGGTCAGTGCTTGGCTCCCTGATCTTTTCTCTCTTCTCTCCTCTACTGAAAGAGATAATCCATTTTTGTTCCAGCATCACTTATATGTTGACTCCTGTATTTATAAGCCCGAGTGGCAGTCACATACTTCAAATTCTCCACTGGCCTTTTATATGTGTGGGTCATACTAAAATTTCAAATTTAGCATTTTGGGACCCAAAGTTATCACTTACCCTTCACCTCCTCCAAATGCATGTCCTCTCAATTGTCTTATCTGCACCAGTACTAGTAGCATATTCTTCCAAATGATATGCAATCATAAATGTGGTTCCATATTCTACATACTTTTATTTTTTAAATTCCATCTTTACTCTTTGTTTCATTTACCATAAGATCCTGCTATCAGTCTAAGATTTTGTACCTTTAGTTTTAAACAACTTCATATCAGGGTGATAATCAGTAACTCTTTATGCCTCCGTTTCCTCTTTCCATCTAAATACTCTGAAATTTCCTTACAGCTGACAGAATACACAGCAAATAATTCTTTATATTAGAACCCAAATCCAGTTCTACCCTATATTCTACTTCAGTCTCTTCACATCCAGTCTTTCCTAATGGTTATTGTGACTTTATGTCTTCTATAAATACCAAAGGCCTTACTGGTTATCTTGAAGGTATGCTTTAATCCCCCCAGTAATCTTCAATTATATCTCATACCTCTGCCTTTTTATAGTTCAAGTCAGATCTTCTTTCTAATACTGCCGGTTCCTTCTTCCCTATCTGCTCTGGAAACAAACTGTATTGCATGCCAGCTGACAGGGCCACGATAGCTCTGCTTGAGGCACACAGGTGGCCCTGCTTCTTTTCAACATACTGTCATTTTTCCTGCCCCACCTTCAATCCTTCCAGAGACCCCTCAAATAGGAACCGCCACCCCTACCTGAACTTTCGCTGGCAGGAAGGCACCCAGGAGCCCCTCGGCAACAGTGGAGATTGGTTCACCTGGAGAACTGCACCCCGTTCCAATAGACCCAGGGTTCACTTTCCTACATCTTGACATCAGAGTCTTCCTTTCTGCCACAGGAAGAATCCTCAGTTTTCACTTTGACAACCCCTAAACCTCAGACTGTTCTCTCTTCCAAACCTGAGAAACAATCCACAAAAGGAAACTGAGGAATAGAATCAGGCCCTACTTTCCAACCAAGATTTCCTCTTTGCAGTGTTTGAACACAACATTTTCATGTCCAACTGCAGCCTTGGCCCTCGGCCCCTGTAGCCGTACAAGCCCCTATTACCTCCAGCCTCTCCAGGCTTGCTCCTCCCCCAGGCCAGCTCCATGGACTCCTCTCCCGTTAGAAAAGACTCTTGTCTACATTAATCTCCAAACCATTTTGTGTTGACAGAATGCTAATATATTAATTTATGATGAAAACTAGAAGCATCTGGTGAACCCTATGTTCGCTGAATTTTATGGCACTCATTAATTAACATCTGGAAATGTTAGGGAATTGCATAGTCCCTGGGTTCTCAGTAAAGGTTATCTCCCAGCTCCTACTCCCAGAATTACCTGCTCATATTACTCAGTTGTGTTCTACTTTTTATTACTACTAATCCATTTCATGTAAAAAGTCTTCACCCTACTTGAATCCTTTGATGCCACAAAAATATAAGAGGCTCCTTTCATATAAAAGAAAAATTGTTAGATAAAGTGGGTACCCACATATGAGTAAGATCTAATACCCAACTTCAATCTAGATGGGATAATAGATCAATACACTAATATCTATAGCATGCAACAGACAATGGTAATAGCCATAAAAGGCTCTAAAATGATATTGATAACAGTAATGATAATCATCCAAGACACTGTTCCATGTACTTTATACATATTATGGTATCTTATTTATCTTCACAAAAACACTAGAAGGTAGATAATTTCATCTTTGTTTTGCAGAGGAGGAAACTAAAGTTCAGAGAGGTTTAGTGACTTGTGCAATAGCCAACCACTAGTAAATGACCACTGGAATTCTACTCCAGTCTTAGATCTTTTTTTTTTATTTCAGCATACTATGGGGTACAAATGTTTAGGTTACATATATTATCTTACTCCCCCTCCCAAGTGAGAACTTCAAGTGTGTCCATCCCCCCAGATGGTGCACATAGCACTCATTATGTGTGTATATACCCATCCCCTCCTCCCCCTCCACCTGCCCAACACCTGATAGACATTATTCCTATATGTCCACTTAGGTGTTGATCTGTGAAACCAATTTGCTGGTGAGTATATGTGGTGCCTATTTTTCCATTCTTGGGATACTTGACTTAGTAGAATGGGTTCCAGCTCTATCCAGGAAAACACAAGAGTGCTATATCACCATTGTTTCTTATAGTTGAATAGTACTCCATGGTATACATATACCACATTTTATTAATCCATTCATGTATTGATGGGCACCTGGGTTGTTTTCACACCTTTGCAATTGTGAATTGTGCTGCTATAAACATTAGATTGCAGATATCTTTTTTATAGAATGTCTCTTGTTCTTTCGGGTAGATGCCCAGTAATGGGATTGCTGGATCAAATGATAGATCTACTTGTATCTCTTTAAGGTATCTCCATATTGCTTTCCACAAAGGTTACACTAGTTTTCAGTCCCACCAGCAGTGTATGAGTGTTCTTATCTCTCTGCATTGGATGAGCCAGTCTTAGATCTTAACCCTATGAGGAGTTCAAAAGAGGTGAAAAGAATTTCTAGTTGGGACATCAGAAAAGTCTTCATGAAACAAATCACTTTTGAGATTAATTTTGAAAAATGGTTAGGATTTTAAGAAACAGAAAAGGATAAATAGAAATTCAAGACAGAATGAAGGTAATGAATAGAAGTAAAGAAATCAGGAAAGCCAGGCATGTATGAAGAACAACAATTAGAGATGGTTGACTGGAGTAGAGAATTTGATTAAGAGGTTACAGCCAAGTTGGAGCCAGATTACAAATGCCATCAGCTTCCAAGCTTAAGGATCTGCACTTAATTCAGGAGCCAATAGGATGTAAAACCCCAAGTCCATCACTAACCCTGACTGTGCAACAAGCCAAATTAGGTTTCACAACCTAGGATTTAGTTTAGAAAAAAAAAAAATAGAGTTTTGAAACTGCTCAGGGATGAGGATTAGAATAATAATTTGAATGGTAGAGAAAATGAATTCTCAGTGGGAGTGATTGTTATTGAAAAGAGTGATCAAAAGATCTGGGGTGAGCTGAGAGAAGAAAGAATGAACAAGAGACTAACCAATAAGATGAGAATGTAGATGTCATAGAATTTTGGGATGAGAGAGAAGAAAAATAATGTGGCTAGAAAGTGGAACATTAGTGTGATATTCTACAGGCAGAGTAGGTTTGGTTGGTGGCTAAACAAGTGTGACATTTTAAGTAGTAGGAGAGAGAATAAAGATGGAGATCATTGGGGTTGCATGAAGGTGAGTCACCACCGAATCCCTACTATCTAGTGCAGTGCCTGGGATTTAGTGAATAAATGTGAGTGTAATATATTAATGGGGTCATCACCAAAAATGGATTAGATATACCCTCAATGGTCAGGGACTCAAAGAAGGGGAGAGGAAAACTAGGGGACATGCTGACATCTCTGCAGGTATTGTGTAGGTCACCAGGAAAACAAGTCATAATGAGAAATGGGGAAATCTAGGCTAGGGAAGCATCATGAGACACAAAAGAAAAAACCTGAGTAATAGTAGAAGAAAAATACAAAGCTTCAGGGGGACAGAAAGTTTGTATTCCAATTCTCTCTTTCCCCTAGCAATGCCTGGATGTAGTACTCAATATCAAATTCATCAAAGGTGACGGGAATTTTTAGGATTTTCAACAGAAAGCAGAATCCCAGAATATCCTGCAAATAGAAGCTTAGTTCACAGAACTATGAAAGGAAGAAAAGGCCTTGTACCATGAGAAGCCTGGGCTCCTGGCAGGGCACGGAGCTGTCAGGCAGACAGGCCCCTAGAGAAGGGAGTGAGGCCCTCCTGATGTGGCCAGCCTGGCGCTCATCCCATCCAGAACCTGCAGCTCTGCAACCACCACTCTCTTCCCAGCAACAAACTCTGGGTCACAGAGTTGGAGCTCTAGCAGTCTAATAAATAACTCTCATCGATTTCCCAGCCCTGGGCCTCACCATCCCTTCCCCCATCATCAACTCTGATTGCTGGCACCAGGGGGCAGGCCTGGAAAATCACTCACACATTATTGGTGCTCCCCAAGCCCCCTCCTCACCCAAGGTGCATATAAAGCCTAAATAGCTGAGGTCTTAGAGCATGAATCTCAGAAGCTGGGTGGACAGCCACTGTGTTCCCTGCTATCCTAATCCTAGTCACTGCTGCTGCTATAACAGCCTCGCGCCAAGAACATGAACAAGCTGCTGCTTTGGGCCTCTGTCCTCACCAGCCTCCTGGAAGCCTTCGCTGAGACAGGTAGGGAGGTTAGGAGATAGTCAAGGAGCATGGGTGAGAAAGAAGTTTGAAACTGGGGTATTTTTTTCCTGCGTTTATGGTGAAGGTCATTTCATTTCTTTCTTTATCCCACAGACCTCAGCGGGAAGGTGTTTGTGTTCCCCAGAGAATCTTCTAGTGATCATGTGAGCTTGATCACACAGCTGGAAAAACCTCTACAGAACTTTACCTTGTGTTTTCGAGCCTTTAGTGACCTCTCCCGTCAGTACAGCCTCTTTTCCTACAACACCCATGGCAAGGATAACGAACTACTAATTTATAAAGAAAAACATGGAGAGTACAGTTTATACATCGGGAAAAGCAAAGTTACATCCAAAGTTGCTGAAGAGTTCCCGGCCCCGATTCACATGTGTGTCAACTGGGAATCCTCCACAGGCATTTCTGAATTTTGGATCAATGGGAAGCCTTTGGTGAAAAAGGGTCTGAAGCAGGGTTACTCTGTGGGAGCTCACCCCAAGATTGTCCTGGGGCAGGAGCAGGATACCTACGGGGGTGGGTTTGATAAGAGCCAGTCCTTTGTGGGAGAGATTGGGGATTTGTACATGTGGGACTCTGTGCTGTCTCCAGAAGAGATCCTGTCAGTCTATCAGGGTTCGGGCTCCAATCCTAATATCCTGAACTGGCGGGCTCTGAACTATGAAATAAAAGGATACGTCATCATCAAACCTATAGCGTGGCTCTGACATCTTGAATCAAGAGTGCTTGAAAATGAAAAAAAAAAAAGAAAAGAAACAAAAACATCTTAGAGGTCTCCTCTCAAAGGAACTGGTTACTACTAGATCCACACTTGCAGCTCTTTGTTCTTTGTCTGCCAAATAAAAATAAATACTCTATTATGCTACCTGCTTTTGTTTAGTGCTCGCCATAGTCCCATACACATTCTCTTATATCTACTTATTTGGTAATTGGGGTTTCATTATCCAGAAAAATCAGGTTGTAAAATATGAGGAGGGAAACCCTTAAGTGACTAGAATGGTAGAGCACAAAGCCATATCACTCCATGGGTGGACAGTGACAGCACTTACAAGCTACTAACAATCATCTTAGTAACAATTCAAAATATGCGCAGCATTGCAATCCAAATCCGTCTTTTTGTTTTTCCAGCTACAAATCAATCAAGAAAAAGGTGGGATGTTGCAGCAGGGAAACAACTGTAATGAGATATGTAAGGAATAGTTGAGAATCTGTCAGCCACTAATGAGACAGGGAGGGAAAAAAAAAAAGAAGTAGGAATAAAAACTAAATATGTATAAGAGACTGGGATCATTTTGTGTGAAGACAAACATGACTTTATATCTCAAAAATCTGAGGGCTACTGTACAGTGCTTGATTTTCATAATGCTGCCCTGATGTCATCGAGAAAATATTACAGTCCAAATATTGCTCACATGAATCACCTCTTTAAAGTAGTTCTGTGGAGCTCCACTTCTTGCAGGTTATAATTTAAATCCCTCGATGTGATATTGCCCTCCATACCCAAGTACCACTTACTCTCTCTGAAATGTACACAGAGAATACACACAAAATACCCTGAAACGCACTCTTTGTACAACTCTTAGCATAGCAAGTGGCATCCTAATTATAACACCGCAAAAATAATTCTTAGATGTTATCATTATTTTTATAATTATGAAAATCACAGAGCACAGTGCCTGGTATACCCTAAATAGATATGGGTGGCCTTCTCACAGAAGCAAGGACCGCAGAGGGAGTTTCGGCTGGGTATGGGCAGGCTTTTCCCACTGATAATAAATAGCCAGGGACATCAGACAGAGAGCATCCAGAACAGCTTCAGAATGATAACCAAAGTGATTACTTAAAAGTCATGAGGCCATTTACCCATAGTGGAAAAAGAGGCAGGCACCAGATACAGAAAAGTGGGATATGACCTAGGAACTTCATATGGGGCAATGGGGTTGAAGGAGAGAGTAGCAGAGAGGACCTGGGAAGATTTGCTGAGGTACTTAAATGGAGGAACAGGGACTTTCTAAGACCATTTCAACCTCATTTCCAGTGAGATAGTACTATAATTTGGATATGGTGTATCCCCCCCCCCAGAGCTCATGTTGACCTTTGATTCTCAGTGTGTTGGTTTTGGCAGGTGGGGCCTAGTGGGAGGTGTTCGGGCTATGGGGGCAGATTCCCTCATGAATACCTTGGTGCTATTCTCGCATACTCAGTGAGTTCTCACTCTTGCAAGACTGTGTTAATTCTGGGGGAATGGATTGGTTTCTACCAGAGTGGGTGGTTATAAAGCCAGGATGCCCCTCAGATTTCCCTCCCTTTGCACACACTCACTTCCCCTTTGACCTCCTCCACCATGTTGTGACACAGCATGAAAGCCCTTGGTGATGCCTTATCCTTGAACTTCTCAGCCTGCAGAACCGTGAGCTTAGTAAACCTCTTTTCTTTATATTAATAGATTACTCGGTCTTGGGTATTCTTCTATAGCAACACAAAATGGACTAAGACGGGTAGAAACCATTTAGAACATCGAATTGGTTACGTAGGCATTTTAGCAATGTGGGAAATTATTAGTTTCCAATTCTCATCTCATAAGTTAGAGCTTGTTTTATGCTTCCTTAATATTAACCACCATTCCATAAACTTGTACTGTGAGTACTAGAAAGACCTATTGTTGGGTCTAGAAATATTTATCCTTTTTTAACAGATATTTCCACCAAGAACATATGAATGTGTTGTTTGCGTTTAACATTTAATAGTCTCTTTGCCAAGGAATTTAAAAATGAAGCCAGTGTATTTTCAAGTGGTGTCATCCATTCATTCAACTATATATTGAGCAACTACTGTGTCAGGTACTTTGCCAGATACCAAAAATATAAGATTGAGTGAAATAATCATGGTGCTTGCTTTTTTTGGAGTTTATATTCTAATAAGTTGGTGTCACCTAGATATGGATTCTTCCTAATAATAATCAGCCTGTGTTGTAACCTATCCCTCACATCTTTAGGCTTCCTTCTATCTCAGGTTGATGTCATACTCCCCTTTCCAACTCCACCTGAGTTGGAGGTGTCACTTATTCTTGGTGATCATTCATAACTTCTTGCATATGTCTTAGGATCTACTGTTCATGTTTTTTGTTTGTTTGTTTGTTTTTGAGACAGAGTCTCACTTTCTTTCCCAGGCTAGAGTGAGTGCCATGGCATCAGCCAAGCTCACAGCAACCTCAATCTCCTGGGCTCAAGCGATCCTCCTGCCTCAGCCTCCCAAGTAGCTGGGACCACAGGCATGTGCCACCATGCCCAGCTAATTTTTTGTATATATATATTTTTTAGTTGGTCAATTAATTTCTTTCTATTTTTGGTAGAGACAAGGTCTCCCTCAGGCTGGTTTCGAACTCCTGACCTTGAGCGATCTACCCTTCTCAGCCTCCCAGAGTGCTGGGATTACAGGTGTGAGCCGCTGCGCCTGGCCTACTGTTTATGTTTAATTTCTTGCTCTTCTGAACCCTCTGTTCTTTAAAATGGCTCTTTTGGATAGAATCCAAGATGGCTACATGGCAGCTCTTTTTTCTATGTGGCTCATGTTTCATCCAAAAGAAATACTCATGCATCCCTTGTCGCTATAAATTCTAGGAGTCCAGGATGATCTTAATGTAGACCACACTTTTCTGCTTCTGCAGTGGTTGTAGATTTTTCAAGTCATATGAGTCTCCCACTAGCAAGGAGCATATTTTAACTTTCTGAGTGATTTCATGTAAGCCCCATCACTGGGCTTGAGGTGAAGGAAGTAGAAAGACTAACAATTATCTTCTCAAGTTATCAGGAACATAATCCACTCATCCCTCAAAGCTGCAATAACAGCAAAGCAACAGCTCTCTCCAAAGAAGTTCTTTGGAGAAGTTCTCTCCTATGCCCCATCCTGTCCTCTCTGTGCACCTTGTTCTGGCCAAGAGATACAAGAATAATAGAGTTGGTTCTTAGTCATTTCCTGTGTCAATTCTTCATTTGAGTGGATCTTTGTATACTATTTTTATTGTCTAGTATCTATCATATCAATGGCTCATTCAAAAATGAATAAAGCGAATCCATTTGAACATCATTTAGAATAGAAATGGGATTTCTGATAACTTTATTTGGGCATTTTTCTCAGATACAGTGGTTATCACAACAAAGAAAGAAGCAAAGTCACAGAGGAAACTACTTGAATGACTCAGAATCCATAAGGAACATGGAAGGACCTGGAAGGCATGATAACCCAGGAACAGAGTTGGGTAGTGATTCAATAACTGCCTTGATAATTGCCACCCTCCTCATATTTGTCACTAAAGCTGGTGAAGCCTAGGAATAAGTAGTACACTAGATGTACAATGAAGAGCTAAAATAAGGAGTCATCTGTAATATGAAAAGCAATTTTTGAGCCTCTATCTTGTGCACATAAGGATCTGACTCTTCTTAGTGTAGCTGCAGAAAAACAGGTAGGAACATTTAGCTACATGGTTCCAGGACTGGTTTCACCAGAGAAAACCACAGAGGATTTTCCTGAATGAGAGGGTTTGCAGTTATTAATAGTTCTCTACAGGTTTTATGTGGGAGACTGTGGGTGAAGGTCTGAGGTTAAAGCAATAAGGTTTCTTAGTTTGGGATACATCTTAGCTTAGATGTCAATTGGGGTGAGAATTAAAAAAAAATGTTTATCTTATCTTCACTAGAGAGGATCAATGTGTAGTTACATTTGGAAGAAAATATGAAGACTCTTTAGGTATTCCTCAGACTTTCTATTGTTTAGAAAGAATAAATGTCCAAGGTCATTGGAAGAACAGAAGGAAAAGTGACACATGGCCCGAGTTACCTTTACGAGAGGACTAAATTGCTGATTAACTTATGCACTAAACTCCATTTGTATTCCAGAATTTTCCATTTTGTTCTGTCTGGCTGTGAACACACTTCTCTGAGTTCAACATGGGAGATGCCTACGGGTTCCATTATCCACTCTGAGCACTGGTAAAGGCTCAGCACTGTGAGGGGTTCATACTGCTGTGTGTGGAGTGAGAGACCAAAAGCAAACACAAAGCACTTCGCCTAGACCTCTAGCTGCTGCTATAGCTTCTCACCATAGCCTCTCAGGGTTCCTGTGAGGATTCGCTATGACAGTGTGCACAAAGTATCCACTCAGTTCATGTTCTGCAAGTGCTCAGTGATTGTTAGCTAGGATGACAATGATTTTAATCATCTGCCTTCATTTCTTGGTATATTCCTACAAATAAAAAGAAATAATTATCATGCTCCATTTTTTAGTCTCTGCCCCCAAAGCTAATCCTTACCTAGCAAAACCCATGCATGCCCCTGCTAATAAGTCAAATGAGGCAAGCTCTTTTTAGGTACACAGAGAGACACCACATTTGACTTTCATAGTGGTGTTTTTTTGGCCGACAGTAACTAAGGACAAAACACTAAGAGGAATTCAAAAGATGGTGCAATGTGACATTCAACACATCTTCAACTGAGTTGAGCTATTTTTCCTGGGAAGGGAAATATGTAGCACACCATGTGAGACCAAGCTTGCCCAGTATTCCTAGTGTGATCCACTCATAATGAGATCCCCTGGCTCATTTCTGGATTCTGATTCTGTGCAGCCCCATGGGAGACATGGTGAGTCTCTTGGCAAATTAACCCAGGGGACGAGAGCTAGACAACAAAACTTCTCCTCCGAGAGTCTCTTCCTAATCACACAGTTTAAGGGGACAGCTCTTCTAAAGGCAATACCAAAAGGGCCAGAGGGACCCAGTGTGAATGTCACCTTGTGCTTCAGCCAAAGACCAGTGAAATGTAAGTTACCTAATAATCTAATGAGGCTGTCCTAGAACCTACAAAGACTGAGCTTTGAAAGACACCAAAATTCTGTTATTTTTTTTCCCAAAAAATGACAGATTTCCTGGAATTACAGTGATCTTTGGTAAATAAGTCACAATTGCCTGGCATGTTCTAAGACCAAAAAAGAACACAGATAGATTCCACAGACTCGAGAAGGTGGGTGGACTCTTTGGGGTCTGAGGAGGCTTCTATCCCAAAGAAAAGTGATGATTCTCATTTATCCAAATTGTTCCTGTAAACATCAGTTTCTTAAGAAGTTGACTCCTTCATCCCTGACTCCTTAGATTTATTTTGTTTTAAAAAAGGAAAGTAAAGAGGAAAAAAAGAAAAGGAAATGAAACTCTGGCAAAAAGGCAGCATCTTTATTTTTTAACTGCACAATTCCTTTACACACAAAATATAATAATAGGCTTAGCCTACTTTGCATATTTTAATTTTTTAAAACATAGATTGTTTCCAGGCACTAATTCTCTTATAAAGATTGAAATATTACTATATTGGACATCCATGATTTTTATAATAATTACTTCCCTTTGCAAATGGTATTATATTTCCTTAACATCCTCAAATTGTGTTTTCCTCTCCACTTTATTTTGCTTTTTCCTCTAGTAGGAATATTGACTTCATGACTAAGATTTTGATGCATGAGCACATTTCAGTATTTTTACTCTCCCACAGGGTTTTTATCCTTCTAGAATGTATAAATCATTTTGAAAGCTCCTTTCGGTTCTATAGCATGCTTTTGAGATTATCCACTGGTGTGTTCCTTACACAGAATCACCCTTAGGGTGCAGCCACAGAGGAGGCCCAGATTGGGGTGCTGGAAGGGCTGCTGCTACTCTGTGCTCAGCTGCACTCACTTCTGGCTGGGCAGAGACTCAAAAAGGCAACCAATAGGGGGGAAAAAAAAACAGTAAGTAGCCATCTGTTGCTAAAACAGCCCTTAAGTTCGCTGAGATCCATGCTAACCACTGAGAACTCACCCCAGCCAACCTCTGCTAGTGGAACCAAACCACCCATTCTACACACTCCTTTGACTCCTTGGTACCCTCTGTGACCTCTTCTCCCTTCCCAAGGTGAACGTTGGTGCTCATTGCTCCAAGGAGGACTAACAATGTACCTCCCTCCTGCATCTCAGATTTCCCCATCTGTTCCATGGGGGTCTCTCTCCTTCACTTTCAGGGACCGTAACAATCCTGTATTTGACATTTAAGCCATAAATTTCTCACAGTAACAGTTTTAGATTTCTTCTTCACCTCAAAAAGAGATCGGTTAAAATGTGAGACTACCAGGCAATTGCCCTTAATCTATAAGGGACTATAAACCATCCCTGGTTAGATAACAAAATGGAGAAAAACACATAATAGAACCCCTCTAAGGGAGAGCGACGCGGTTGGGAAGAATACTTGGAGAAATGAGGGTGAGCGGATGACACCTGCTCTAGGAGGTGTTGATGGCCACTGAAGTGCGCTCTATGGAGGACGAATCCCATTTACTGCAGGGCTATTTCATTTGTTTATTTGTTGGCTTTGGCTAAACAGAGTGTTGGGCATTCCCTTGTAGCTGAGCTCCTCAAACAGGAGAAGGGACAGTACCTCTGCATGGTGTGGCTTTACCCTGCCTCCACCCACCTGTCCTCCAAATAAACACTAAACAATATGGAAAGAGCAGTGGTTTGAAGAGGCTGCTCTTACTCTCACATCCTGATCTCACCTTCCTTTCTGTGTTTGTTTCCCCAAGTTTTAAGAATACTTTGTCTTAAGATATTCTTTCATTGCCTATTCAATCCAATTCAAATGTGTACCAGAGGCAATAAACTTACTTCTTTTTCCCTTGGGCATATGTACCTGGCCCACTTTCCCTGCATCTAGGGGGCCATTAGCATCCTGTCTATATCTTTATAATTTATTCAAAGAAGGTAAATTCATATTTACATGAAACATTTACAACAAAGCAGTGGCTGATTTGGGGTGAAAGCAGCACTTTTCAGCTCCTAGATTAAAAATACCAGGAATTTTTTTCCCTCATTTTGCCTCAGTTCAGTTTTGTGTTTTCTTCCTTTTCTCTACTTCAAACATGTCCACAGTTTTCCTGGCTCGGTATCTCTTTAACCACATTTTGTCACTTACTGCCATAGGCTCATCAGGAAAAGGAAAAGGCCCTAAGATCTGTGGTTCTCACCTAACATAGCAACAAAATTCTTTTTCTATTCCATGCAGCCAAGTTTTCCAGCCCAAGACTCTGCTGAAACTGTGTCCAATAAGGTCATTGGCAGCCTCCTTGTTGAATCTAATCTATTCCTCCTCGACTTCTCCAAACTATTTATGAGCCATAATTTTATGCTCAAAATTAAAATAATTTAAATATAAGAATCATAATCATCACGGTAAATATGACAGGGTAAAAAGTCCAAGTCCGCTACAATCTCACACTCACCACAACACAACAATTAACCCATGATCACATCGGATACATATTCTTTCAGACTTTTTCCCCCACATGTACAAATATTTACGAACATTCACACATGCACACAAATATCCTTAGCCATATGGCAGCACACCATATTATTGTTGTTTGAATAGCTTTTTTGTTGTTATTTAATGTATTCCACACATCCATCCATAGTAAGGCACCCTCACAGCACAGTCCAACAGAACTTTCACCATCGAAGGGAATATCTGAGAGCTGTGCTGTCCAATATGGTAGCCATTAGTCTCATGTAGATTTTTAGCACTTGAAATGTGGCTAGTGTGACTAATGAACTGAATTTTTAATTCTCTTTAATTTTAATTAATTTAAATTTACATAGCCATAGCTCTACCCCATCCTTTCTAAAAAGCTGCTTAGAGTTGCACTGTCACTCTCTTTAATTTTTGCCTATCTGACTGGTATCTTGGCAGTCTTTCAATGTAAATTACTTTAATTATTAGTGACACAGTCATTTCTACTTGAAATGTTTGCCTCCTTATTTTCCATAATGGAGTATTTTCCAGAATACCTATAATGTTTTCCAGATTCTTAGTGGCAGTTCCCTAAATGTACCCAAATCTCCAGCCTGCAGGTGTTAACTTGCTCTTCAAGTAAAATGTTTCAAACCTCAAGTTGATATATGGTGGCAGTCTCAGACTCCCTCACCAAATTTCTATGAAATATTGTGAGTACTTGCAAAGGGGAAGGCTGAGCGGGAGAAGGCCTTATATTTCTTCCAGTCATTACTGGCGAAGAGCTTTTCTTCCTCACTCTGGATTTTGTCCCTTGCATGTTGTACCTTTTTCTGCATTGTGCCATCATCCAATCTGCTCCACTTCCCAAACACCCTAACCGAAGATTATACATATGGAAAACTTTAAATGAAAGTGTGGGGCTCTTCAGGGAGTTTACATCACAATATAATTTAGCAAAACAATTTTTAATCAAATATTATACCTCTTGATTCTTAAAATTCCTTCTGCCAAAAAGAAATCAGTTATTTCTTTTATTTAAGGTCTAACCCTCTGTTGTGTCGCTGGATCTCTTCTCTCTTTTCCAACAATTTCCCCTTCTCTCACTAGTTTACTTGCCCCCACCTCTCAAGTCCTTATTAATACTTTCACAAAAAATCAAGTTTACCAGTGATTTGTCTCCCCTGGACCATTTCCCCTTCATGCCCATTGAAGTTTTCCTGAAGGTCAGCTCCCTGTGACCACACTGTTATCAGGAGCTATCCACCAGTGGTTCTAGCTCAGTAAGTCCAACTCTCCCACCCCCATTTTGTTGTCCCAGCTATGCACACTTTCCCTAGGAGAGCAAGATAGCAAAGCCAGACAGCATGAGACAGGTCCACTGTGACAAACGTATCATAAAGGAAAAAGCCTTTCCTCCATGCACTACAAAAGTAACATATTCATGATGACACTGAAAAGATACAGCCTGTAATCACACATATTGGTGATTCTTTGGCCATATGCTTAAGAGAAGATTAGGGAAACAGCAAAAACAGAAAACTGGGAAGAGAAGGAAGTAGCCACATAACGTAAACCAACATGTTCTTGATTATACAGCAAAGAAATTGACTTTTTTTTTTTTCGTGTATTCTATGTCTGTCTTTCTATCCCTCTTCTAGAATCCATGTCATGATGGGCATTTCTCCATGTTGACTCTCTGCATTGCTTTCAGACATTTCATTGAAGAATGCACAGGAAGAACCTCACAGAGGTGACAGAGTTTGTTTTCCTGGGATTCTCCAGATTCCATGAACACCAGATCACCCTCTTTGTGGTTTTCCTCATCCTGTACACATTAACCCTAGCTGGTAATGTCATCATTGTGACCATCATCCGCATTGACCATCACCTCCACACCCCCATGTACTTCTTCTTAAATATGCTGGCTAGCTCAGAGACAGTGTATACACTGGTCATCATTCCACGGATGCTCTCCAGCCTTGTAGCCCAGAACCAGCCAATCTCCCTAGCAGGTTGTATCACCCAAATGTTCTTCTTTGTTACCTTGGCCATTAACAACTGCTTCTTGCTCACAGCAATGGGGTATGACCGCTATGTGGCCATCTGCAACCCCCTGAGATACACAGTCATCATGAGCAAGAGGGTATGTGTGCAGCTGACATGTGGAGCCTTTGGCATTGGCCTGGCCATGGCAGCTGTCCAAGTGACATCCATATTTACCTTACCCTTTTGTCACAGAGTGGTTGGTCATTTCTTCTGTGATATCCTCCCTGTCATGAAACTTGCCTGTACTGATACCACTATCAATGAGATAATCAACCTTGTTGTCAGTTTATTTGTAATCCTAGTCCCCATGGGCCTGGTCTTCATCTCCTATGTCCTCATCATCTCCACTATCCTCAAGATTGCCTCAGCTGAAGGCCGGAAGAAGACCTTTGCCACCTGTGCCTCCCACCTCACTGTGGTCATTGTCCACTATGGCTGTGCCTCCATTGCCTATCTCAAGCCCAAGTCAGAAAATTCTGTAGAACAAGACCTCCTTCTCTCGGTGACCTACACCATCATTACTCCTCTGCTGAACCCTGTTGTTTATAGCCTTAGGAACAAGGAGGTCAAGGATGCTCTATGCAGAGCAGTAGGCAGACACATTTCTTAATGCATTGACTCTCTTCATAAAGAGAAATTTGTCCCTAAGCAATGTGTATCCTCAGTGTATCAAACAACCACACAACTCTGTCCTGTGCAGTCAGTTCTGCACATCTTGCATCAACACTTTTATTGCAAAGTCTTCATTTCCAATAATTTCAAAGTTTTTTCCAAGCATTTTCAACTAGGTATGTGAGAGGTCAGGGGCATGATTTTTAAGAAAGCATATCCAAATTTCTGGTATGGAGCAAAAGACTTCTTAAAAGAATATTAAATGTGATTATTTTATGTTTAAAAAATAAAAAACAATCCCTATCATTTTTATAATAGAATACACAGAAGCAACACTGCACAAAATCTTCCCAGCCAGATAAGGTTACTCAACAGTGATGAATTTCCCCAAAAGAAAATTGTATCAGAATCTTGAGGGAAAGGTGAGAATTATATATTAAATAAAAATTTTTAAGAAAACATTAAGTTGGAAAAGACTGGTTTAGTCCTTGAAACTTTAGTCTTTACTATTCAATTTATATTAAAGCCTTTGCTTTCATCCAATATGGTCTTTAGAATGCTGGCCATGGCCATAGATCACACATAGCTCTCACCTCTCTAATCTGAGTGTGCTAATCCAGTTCTCTCTGGTTGCTGGTTCTCTCCATAGGATCAACTTCTCTCTCATCACTATGAAGAAAAAATGAGTTTGTCAGAAATATCTGTACCTTGCCTGAAGTGAGAGCCATAAAAGTATTCTTCATTTACATACACCATGGCACCACCAGGGTAATACCATAAAGAAAAAAAAAATGGAACAAAACAAACAGTGCCAGTAGTCAAGAGTCGTTCAGAGGTATAATTGTTTAATCATTCAATTCATCAAAAAAGACTAAAAAGGAAAAAATCATATTTCCTACTAGACCTCCTTTGAGGAAAGTATTCTTTCCCCAGGCTTCCAGGCAGATTTTCTGGTTTCATGTCTATACATATCTTCTATACTGTTACCTTGGGTGATGGGTGATAGTTAATGATAGGCAGGGTTTAAGATTCTTTTATTTTGTTCCTCCTTCTGATAAAGCATTTTCTGTTAGTAAATGTTGGTGTGGATACAGAGAGATAGGAACACTCTTACACTGCTGGTGGGACTGCAAACTAGTACAACATCTATGGAAAGTACCATGTTTCCCCCAAAATAAGACCTACTCATAAAATAAGCCATAGCAGGATTTCTAAGCATTTGTGTAATATAAGCCCTACCCCAAAAATAAGACCTAGTGATGGGCGTGGCTATGCAGCATATCTGCACAACTCATGCATTTTGTTGCAGAGCAGTAAAGAAGACGAGCAAGTTACGTGGATAAGAGCTGCTCAATGAGAGCTCTATTGCTCCACATGAGAGATTGGGGCCAATGGTTCTAAAGGAAATAGGGTCACAAGAAATTCAGGATGGAATTCGGGGTTTGGAGAGTTATGCTGATGTTCCAGCATAAGACGACTTAACGACATTTGAATAAATGTAGATTGTTGTACTGCACTTAAAAAAAATAACACATCCCCTGAAAATAAGCCCTAGGGTGTCTTCTTGAGGAAAAATAAATATAAGACCCTGTCTTATTTTCAGGGAAACACGGTGGTATGGAGATACTTCAAAGAGCTAAACCCACCATTTGATCCAGCAGTCCCACTACTAGGTATCTACCCAAAGGAAAAAATGGCATTTTATCAAAAAGACATCTGCACTCAAATGTTTATAGCAGCACAATTTAGAATTGCAAAGATGTGAAAACAACCCAAATGCCCATCAATACATGAGTGAATTAATAAAATGTGGTATACGTATACCATGGAGTTCTACTCAGCCATTAAAAAAATGGTGATCTAGTATCTTATCTAGTATCTTTTGTAACAACCAGGATGAACTAGAGACCATTCTTCCTAGTGAAGTATCACAAGAATAGAAAAACAAACATCACATGTACTCAATACTAAATTGGAATCAATCGGTCAACACTTACCCACATGTATGGAAGGAAGGCTCAAGAGAAATCAAGCAGTCTGGAGAGGGGAGGAGGGGATGGGTAAATTCACGCCTGATGAGTACAATGCACACTAACTGGATGAAGGGCACACTTATAACTTTTACTCAAACTGTACAAGAGCAAATTATGTAACCAAAATGTGTGTACCCCCTTAAAACTCTGAAATAAAAATTTTAAAAAAAGAATGCATGATTATAGTGAAAAATACATCTTCAGTTCTGTTGCTTACATTGGCTAAACTATGTGTCCAATTTTTTTAAAATAAATACATGTGCCTCCAATTTTTTAGACAATAAGATATTGTGTTGTGTTGTGGAGAGAATGGAGGTCCTAGGGTCAGAAGACCTAGGCTTCAGGTCCACACTCTGCATCCATCAGAACCTTTTTATGAATATAATGTTTATAATTCTGCCTCACTGGCCATCAAAAGCATTTTTTAACCCCCTTAGCTATTTATTGTGTACAAACTGGTATCTAGTGATAAATGCTACTTTGCATTGTTTTCAGCAACATCATTTACCTCATTCCCACCCAGGCAGTTTGTTGTTCTTTCTTATGTGTTTCTAAAGTTCTTTGTGGGAAATTATATTAGTATAACATTTTTCTCACTGTCTCATTGCTTGTTTCTGTCACTGGATTACAAGCATATTGGGACCAGAAACTTCTTTTCTCATTATTATGCCCCTTCCTGGAATAGTGCTCAGTAGAATAGGTGCTCAATAAATCCTCATTTAGTGGTTGATACCTACTGTGTACAAAGCACTATGCTTGGACTTCCTGCCATGTCTTGATCAGTTAGACACACCTGCTGTCTTAGTTCATTCAGACTGCTTTAACAAAATACCCAAGACTGGACAATTTTATAAATATTAAAAAAAATTCATTTCTCATGGTTCTAGATGCTGGGAAGTCTAAGACCAAGGGGCTAGGAAGTTTGGTATCTGGTGAGGGCCCAGTCTCTACTTCCAAGATGCCACCTTGTTGCTGCATTTTCCAGAGGGGACGATGCTGTGTCCTCACATGCCAAAAGAGGTGGAAGGGCAAAACAGGGGCCTATCTAGTTTGCTCCAGCCCTTTTACAAGGTCACTAACACCATTGATAAGGTCTCTGCCCTCATGGCCTAATCACCTAAAGGTCCCACCTCTTAATACCATCCTATCAGGGCTAGGTTCCGACATAAATTTTGGAGGGGACACAAGCATTCAAACCATAGCATCTGCTATGATTTTTTTTTCTGTTTTCAATGCAGTTGGCCCTTACCTAAAAACAAACACAGTCAGTCATAAGCAAGTCCACAGTGGCAGAGTTACTTGGGTCTGTTTTTCCTCATTTCCTGGATTTTCTGCAAGCCAACTTCTCAATTGTTTTAAGACCTTTCTCAGCCCCAGTGTTAATTTAGTCATTTGCACTGATTAATCCCTTAGCAACACAGAACCAGAGGCAGTCAAGTTTTTCACAAAAGGGCATGGAGTTACCAAGAAAATCATTCTCACCCATATTAGGATGTAACCTTTGAAACCTATTTAAAAAGAAACAAGTGTTTAAATAGAGACTGATGTGCCATATACAATTAAGAATCAGGACATCTTCTAATTATATTTTTGGCAAAATGACAAACAAATCTATTATGAGGCAAGAAAATCCTTTCACAGTTTTAGATTTTGAGTTCCACTAGAACAAAAGTGGAACTTAGCTTCCTTTGTTGCTGGGGCTCAAATGCTCAAATTTCTGACCACCTAATTTTTCAACCCCTATTTCTCCTTGTGAAGACAGTGAGTAGACAAGAAAACAGACCTGGAAATACCAACCACCAGCAATAAACAGTTTGACTGAAGGGAGCAACTAGCTCTGGAAAATGAGAGAGGGGAGGAAGAAGCAGGAGATGACTCGGAGGGTAGATGGGTTGTAAATGTCAGATGGATCTAGCATTCTAGACACTCATCTTTGAAGGGAATGGGAATTCCAAAACATCGAAGCAATGTGGTCTAAAGCAGAACACAATTACAATTTATTGAGGGCTTACTATTGGGCAGACACTATGCTAAGCATTAGTCATGTACATTATTTCACTTAATATTTCTCGGTACTTCATAATAATCTTCAAATATAATATATAATGTCCTAATTGATCCTTACAACAACTTTATGAAGCATTTGTATGGCACAAGTGCTACATACAGCTCCTCAGGTCCTTAGGCACCCATCTCATTATTCTTTGAGCAGCCACTTTGATCAGGTGGAATATGAAATGAGACTGTTTTCCATTCTGGATAGACGGTAAGTGGTGACTATTTGGAGTCCACTGGCTCTTTTTCCTGGCTAAATTTTTTAAATCACCCTATAAGTTCATCATAAATTAACCTATACAATTTTACAGTACTTGGCACTTCATAACAGTCTTCAAATATGATATATAATGTCCTAATTGATCCTTCGATAACTTTATGAAGTATGCATTTTATGCCCACTTTTTAGTTTCATGTTAAATAGGTTAACTGACTTGTTTAAGCCACACAGTTGGTAATTGACAGAACTAGAATTGATACTAAGATCCACTGGCCAACTTGAAAATGCATGTGTTTTCCACTGTTTCATCATCATCTCTCATCATCGATCTTTCTGAAAAACATTAAATTCTCCCCAGCTTTGAGTTACTCTGATCTAATCTGGTACATCACGTCCACCAAAAATCTTTCCTAAGTAACTTACTTGGTGTTACTCCCATGATCTCCCATACTGTTCTAAGCTTATTCTTGCCCTGGCCATGCAGCAAAATTACCCATTTCCTAGTCTGCCTTCCTTACCACACAGTAAACCCTTCAACAGGACTGCTTTCTGTGTCCTTAGTGCCTAGCACAGTGCTTGGCATAAGACAGATCTCAAAAAGTTACTTACCAAATATAAAATTGAAATGCACACATTCATAACTGCTTCTTGGTGGCTGAGTGTACTGACAATGAATATCCATTGCTCTCC